AGAAGTGTCGGTTTGCTCCTTGTAAACTGATACCGTTCAACCCCTATGTCGTAGCTTACAACGACCCCATGCCTTCCTTAAGTCAGTTCTCTAGATTTCGAGCATCCAATCAGAGACTGAAGACGCTTTTGAACGATGTGATCGTTCTGTATTTTCAGCCTTTCTTGCAATTGATTACGGCCTTCATGATTTCTTGAAATCTCCCCACTCTCCTGGATGATTTGTTTCTACTTTCCCGAGTTCAGTTACTAAAAATGAACCTGTTTACATATGAAGAGGACGACGAACTTTGCAAAGGCATAATTAGTTTTGTAATTACACATCGCGGACTATCACAAACAGTACATACTCGGGATGCCTGCCTAAGGCGTTGCATACCATACTTTTGTAGTCCAGGCTCTTGAACTTCGTTTTTGTCGGACTGGTCAGCTTGAAAGTGAAGTTCACTTCAGTTATCCGAACAGCTGAAGTAGACTTTGCTAAATCCGTGTCAGAGACGTTCCAACTATGAAACGGGGCTCAAAGGACTGTTAGCAAAATAAGTTTTCGAAGCATTTTCAGAAAAACGTCTAGACCTAAACCTGGTAAAAGGTGATGACCTTTTTTAATTGCTAGATCTCCCTTTGATAATAAGACGAATAGCATTCTGGTGGACAGATCTAAATCTGGAAAACAAGAAAGACGGATCGAAGGTGATGGAAGAGCTATCTTACATAGTTGGGAATTACAAATACTAATGTTTTCGAGCACATTCAACCAACAGACACAACAATAGCCTGGCTATATTACCTCCAAAAAGTACAAAATACCGGTGTAACGGTGATACTGCTGGTCGGTTGTTTGTAGAATTTCGCTTTGCGTCAATGGAAAAAAGGAATTCTGTTGCGGAATTCGTGGGGCCACTTTGTAACATTTGCTTGGATTTGACCGACGAATGAGTGGAGGCAACTAATCTCTAAGACATCTCGTTCGGGAGAAGATCTGTGTCCAATTTTTGGAACTAAGATGCAGATTAGAGTTTTGCTTCCCTGTTCAATGGTCTGTAACCGGTCAGCTGGCATTTCCGAATAAATAACTCCGCAGCGAAGGCCTTCTTCCTTTCACCGGTATACTTATGGAGTTCATCGGTGACACGTTCCCCATCATTCATTTGTCAAACGGGCACACCGTCTGTTTGAACCAATCAGGACAGAAGTTTCAGTCTTAAAAACTGAGATGTCCAACTGTCGGTCTTGAGGTAGCATTTCTGTTTACTGGTGTAAATCTCACCGAGGTGACAGACCACGTTCCTAATGTCCCCATTCGTGGCAATAAAAAAGACAAGTTTTACGTTGCACGTACAGTTTTCAGTTTAGTAGAAATAAGTCTGTCCGCAGAAAGACGGAGTTGGGATACGCTTTCTTTCGAGTCCTCTGGTCTGTTCATTGAAACTCAACGTCAAAATGCTCTCACTGGGCAATTTACTCTGCGTGGTCCTCACACGGACAATAGTTTTTGATACGTCTCTGATGTCAGCCAAACCGACGCATTAAACAACTCCACTCCACTTCGTACTATTTCCAAGCTTACTGCTGAACTCGAAGGCCATGAACCAATATTCTGGATATGCATACTCTAAAGAAGCGGATGGGTTCATAAAGCGCCGTGTCCATTGAACATGGACTGGCCAGGATATTAGCTCTGATGGCTCCGTCCTCTTGAAAAGAAATTGATGTTTCATCAATTGATCGATGGATAGAGAAAGAGAGGCATAGCCCTGCAACTCTATACTGTAGGAACTGAAAATTTTTTAGGTGGCGAGAAGCTCAGCCATATGAGCACCTTCATTTCTATTGAGGCTTATCTTATTGTTAAGAGTTCCATACCGCTTCCCACAGGACCATGAGCCCGCTGACCTGTTCGTACGACTAAGGAATTTCAATTAGAAATGAACTTTCAGCTTAAGTCAGCCGCTGAGTTATTCGGGCAGGATGACCGATGCCTACAGGGGACCTGATAATTGCCAAGTAATGATCTTTCATTTTCTGCGGACCTTTATAAGGATTTATACTGCACACTCAACTTTTCTTGTCGACCTTCAATATATGTTTTACAAACAGCGGTGCTGTTTGTAGAGTTCCCCAACTTTTTCCGCGATGCACTTGTGAACTAGACTATACACAATGCAGAGTTTTCGAATGTGCATGTCTATTCATTCGAAACTCCGACAGGGTTTCAGGAAGGTTGATTGGCTAACCACTAGTGCATTACATTTGGCCTGCCTGTCTGAGAGCTCAGCGTTGCTTACAAATCTCAGTACCCTGGTGTTGGGTCACGTCCTGATCTGGATCACACACTCGAACCCCGCTCCCACTCAGTGAGGAGAAAAATTCTTTTGAATAAACAAGAAGAACTATATTAAGATGATCGATCACGTTTCCGACCCGGTTCCCCGATGGTTACCACATGTCGCCTGATGTGTCCTTTTCATCACTTTATTGAAAAATAAAAGGAACAGACTGCATGTTATCGGAATCCAGAGGCCGTGGTTGTACAAACTTAGTAAAAAAAACGCTACTTAGGATCACGAAGTTATGGATGTTTCAGAAATCTACGCAACAATGCTGTCGCGAACGGGGCCATCCATTGGTTATGAGTGGAGCCTTTTCTCCTCATTCCATAAGTTTGACTTACAACCGCATCTATCTTACCGAATGACTGCAGGTGGCTACTAACCATTCTACAAATATCTGCTGCACCTAGTCAGAGTGGAACACATTACCCACTTGAGGTACCCTGAAGCCAACAACAATACCTGGTGAAATACCAATACCCTAACCAGGGATTATGAATGTGTCATTTCGATGCCTGCATAAATGGATGAAGTACGAAAACAACTCTACCACTGATGAAGATTTCATTTGTTTCCCCAGGCCATAAGTATTCCAACATCTGAACCACGCCTGGTTCGAACAAAGTAGCGAGACTACAATGGATTGTTTATCATCATAACTAATAAAGAACTGAGTTAGATTGGCCACGTACGGTTAGTAGTCAATCTCTAATGCCCTTAAGAGACATTCTTAAATACAAAACCTGGACTTACAAAAGCGGATGCTACTGACTTCCATCCTAGAAAGAATCTTGTAGTCTTTGTTAGACGAGAGGATATTGGAACGTCCATGTAAGAGGTCGATCCAATACCAAATTTGATTGAGGGCTTTTTGGTGAATGATGTCCGTTTCCAGTGAGCCTTTCTAGGGAACGCTACGCCAGTGCTTCACCTTGATGACAGAGTAGTTGTGTCCAAGATCATTTCTCTCTACATAAGAATAAATGTACCTCACTATTTCTGTGTGGACATATAAACTGGCTCGTCCGCTCAAGGATGAAATCGCGTGGTTTCCTACATTTTTAGCACTGTAGACATCGTATCCCGCGGTATAAGCGACACTGTATGGAAATGAATAACTAATTCAGTTATCCAGTGGACAACGTACTTGGTTCATTAGCATAACTTACTTAGCATCAGGTCACGATCGATAACTACAGTTTGGCTGTAGCAAACAGGTGAAGCACTAATCCATTTTGATCACGTTGCTATTATGTGTGCAGCCGAAAGTGCTCATTCGCATTCTAAAGTTACGTACATATGAGGCTTGCTGTCGCTGTGTATCAAAACGGAAAAAAGTGCATTGAATAAATTTTGTTAATTCTGGACACAACGCTAAAGCACCTTTTGCCTGTATCATTTTCAGCAAATGAAACGCAGTAAGAGGGCATTTTATTGATTTCTGTGCGGATGAAATTATCTTCTAGTTGTCTCACCTTCCGTTCCTTTCACCCGTGCTCATGTCATGGTGTTCATTGGAAGAGTCTTGTGACTCCTCAGCAGCAGTTAGGCATCCTTGACCATCCGAGGAAACAGACTGTAAGAAAAGGCATATACACTGTGTCAGTCAGTTGTGACTTTGAATATGATGGCCTGATTTCGGAAGGAAAAATACCAGGTGTTCAGTTTGGCACATTCTTTGGAGTTTTTTTCTGTTGTGAGCTCCTTCCATGTCCATTTAATCTCATGCTAATAAACAGCCTATTCAGACATACGTTCACTTTTGAACGTCCAAAACCAGAGATAACACCAAATATAGGCGCTTTGTCCAGTTCAATAAATTCCATCGCTTGAATTTTCCTCAGCTTTCATTGAGTATACGTTTATTGGACTATGAACAAAGTCATGCCGTAC